AGGTTGGGTATGGGGAGGGAGCCCTTATAAGTTGCCTCTCCTGGGAAACTTAACTCAATGCAACCTTCAGAGGGATGTGGAAGAGGACAGCTAACCTTTTGTCTTCTCAAACACAGTGCCCAGAATGCCTCAGTGATCCTGATGAAGAATTATGAAAACAGCATGCAAGAGCAAACTTGATGTAACTAATGATTTCACTTGACCCACCAATAAGCATTGGCACAAGTAGGGGGAGGTAAAACAACTTCAGCTTTCATTCAAGACAAGTAGAGCTGAAAGATCACTGTAGCTTTGCAGGCACTTGTGAGCTACTGCAGACATACATTCTGGATGTTTTTTTGTTTGATAATAAATTTGGATAATTGTATATTTTTTTAAAAAGAAAACCATAGAACAATTACGTGGTCCAGCAAAATAGTAAAAAAATATATATATAGTAGATATCAAAGAGTCAAATTCCCAGTTTTAAGAAGAGATAGTAGATAGAAAAATGTAAGGTAATAATTATAAATAAAATGCAGCAGGTAAAAGGGCCTTAGTGAAAGAGGACTCAGAACAAACTGACCTCATCAGAGGAACATGGGCATTAGGAAGTACACAGGGGGTAACTGAGCATAAACTCTGGGGAAAACATATATAAAGGAAATTTTATGTTAGTACTTCTAGCTATAGAATAATTATTTAAAGTTTAAAAAACTTTAATGTTCCAAAGCAATTAATAAATCTATTGACTTTTTTCAAACAATTGTTTAATTAAAGGCACAAATAAAGTTAAGATTTGTAATTGATTGCCTTAATAAACTTAACTTTTCAGTTCAGTCAAGATGGTCGCTAAAAATAAAGTCAGTATTCCAATGACAAAGTAAGTAAAAGAAATTTGAACTGTGTGCCTCACATGGAAAAAAACACTAATTTCAATCTAATTTTAACATAATAACAAGCAGAAAAACAGATATAATGACTTAACGTGCCATATAAATGGATAAAAATGACAAACGCGTACTGGAAAAATGTATTTTGTGAATAAGAACTCACAATTTTTTTTATTTTTACTGCTAATTTTATTTCAAAAATATTTTATGTATTATGTTAAAGCTTATTGGCAAGGAATTGACAATTTTACACAGCAAAGGAGATAACAGTAATGACAAAAGAAAATTTTATGTCATACCATAAAGATGCATTGTATTAGTAAACTGTACAAGGATTAAAGAAAAAAAAAACAAGAAGAAAAACATGCGGACCTCAGATTGTCAGATAAATCACTATAGACATTTCTACCTTGCCTTGTCTATATATTGTTCCCCTGTAAAGAAGCATTGTTTCATTGATACTCCAGTCAGGCCACTAATGACATGATTTCTTGTGACATTTGCTCAGTCTGTGCTCAAAATTCCCTGAGTAATTTACACCTACTTAATAATATATCTTATTGTTTTCAAGTACATTTTCTCTTTTAAATCTGGAAATAGACCTTAGCCTGTCTTGGGATGATAGCACTCAGCAGATCAAGGTCATCAAGGCAGCAGATGACAATGTTCAGAGAAGCTTTCCAACTTCTAACACAGCAGAAAATCATGTATCTCTTCCTCATTCTTTAAAAAGCCAAGGTATGGGCGGGAACAGTGATAAGTGAAGCCTGGAGGATTCTTAGGACAGAGAAGGACTCTGTGAGACCTTATAATAGGAAATATGTAAATTTGTCCAAAACCAAAGACTAAAACACCAATATTGAGCCCTACAGAAAGCTATGAACTAAATGCACCATGCTGGTGGGAGATACTGATAACAAAAGAGGCCATGAATGTGAGGGGCCAGCATGCATAAGGGAAATCCTTACATATTCTCCTCAATGTTGCTATGAACCTAAAATTGCTCTAAAAAGATGAAGTCTATTTTTTAAAAAGTTAACTTTACCAATGAAAAAACTGCTAAAAGAACTACATAGATTAAAAGCATTTAGTAAAAGGAAGTGACAAATAGTAAAATTTCACATTTAAAGGTAGATGTCAAAATTTTAAATCTTTAACAGCTTTGGGATTATAAAATTTAAAAGAAAATGCCTGAGACTGGGATAATGCAAACTAGGAATTTACTTCAGAATCTTCTATCTGAATTTGGTATTTTTCTTGTGCATGTATGTGGCACTAGAGTTTGAACACAGGGCTGAGCACTTGCTAGGCAAGTGTTTCTACCACTACCATGACTAGAGCCCTTTTTGCTTTATAAAAATTATTTTTCACATGGAGTCTCATGCTTTTTGCCCAGGTCTGGCCTCCAACTGTGATCCTCCTGCCTATGCCTCCTGTGATTTTACCACTGTGCCTAGCTTTGTTTACAGAAATGGGAGTCTCTCTAACTTTTGCTTGGACTGGCTTTGAACCACAATCCTCCCATTCTCTGCTTCCCAGATAGCTGGGATTACCAGTGTGAGCCACCATGTACAGCCTGCTATATGAAATTAACTTAACAAATGACAGAAAAATCAATCTATTATCCTAGTAAAGTCTTATCTAAAATGACAGGTTATGTACAAAAATCAACTCAAAATAGATCAAAGACCTCAATATAATACCTAAAACGCTGAAAGGACAATATAGGGGAAAACACTTCAGGATCTAAACATAAGCCATCATTTTCCAAATATGACTTCAATCCCTCAGGAAATAAGAACAAGAATTGACAAAATGGGATTGCAACAAATTAAAAAGCTTCTGCCACAGCAAAGTAAACAATTACCAATAAGAAGAGACAACCAACAGAATATTCACCCAACAGGGGCTTAATATCTGGTATATATAAAGATCTCAAAAAACTAAACAATAGTAAATGGGCATATGAACTGAACAGACACTTTTCAAATGAAAAGTACAAAGGTTCAATATCTTTAACCATCAGGAAAATGCAAATAAAACTACATTGAAATTCTATCTAACCCCAGTGAAAATGGTTATCATCAAGAAAACAAACAAATGCAAAGGATGGAATGGGCAGAGGAACTGCTGGTGGGAATGTAAATTAGTCCAACCACTATGGAAATCAGTATGAAAGGTCTTCAAAACAAAGTTAGAAATAGATCTATCATATGATCCAACTCTATCACTCCTGTATATATGCCCAAAAGAATCAAAATCAGTTTACAATAGACCTGCCTGTGTCTTCATGTTTATTGCTGCTATTTATGTTGTTTATTGACTATTTATTTTCAATACTCAGGCTGTGGAATCAGCCTAGGTACCCATCTAGAGAAGAATGGAACAAGAAAATGTGCTCTATACGCACAATGGAGTTTTATCCAGCCATAAAGAAGATGAATTTATGTTGTTTGCAATAAAATTAATAGAACTGGAGATCATCATATTAAGCAAATAAGTCAGACTCACAAAGACAAGTATCACATTTCTCTCATGTGTGGAAATTAGGGAAAAAAGACATAAAAGTAAAAGGGAGATTCTTAGAGTTGTAGAAGGAGAGGGGAGAAGGGTGGATAAAAAAGAGGTAATGGAGTTAGTGTGATCAGAGTACATTACATCCATGTATGAAAATGTCATAATGAAGCCCATCACTTTGAACAATTGCTATATGCTATTAATTAAATAACAAAGTGAAGGGTTAGTCAGTAAGAGAGAAAAGCTCATTGTTTCTCCTAATAAATACCTTGTAGGATGGGAACAGGCTCAAGAAAACTTTCTTTCTAGGTCATGTACAATAAATTTGAGGTCTCAGAAGCAAATTGAAAATTTATTTGTGGGCAAATACACTTGAGCAATGCAAGATGTTGACTAGACTCTTATTTCAGTTACATGTAGCTGCCATGTAGACATTGGGGAAGCACATTCAAAAAACACAGACACAAGTCTAATTATGAAAATATATCACATTAAAATTATGATATTGTTCTGGTCCACTTCAAATACACAACTTCATACTTACTAATACTGGTGAAATCAACTCCAAAAGGAATTTCTTAGTTCTACCTCAAATGAACAGAGTTCTCAATCCTCCAAAATCCTTTCATCAATGTTTTGATGAGAAGTTACAGCCTAGCTTTGTTCTCATTAATTAATTAATTTCCTAATATCACAGGGACTAGAAAGCTTTGTCTTCATCTAAGATTAAATTGCTACAGCAGAGCTCCATGAATGAGCTCTTCTTGTGTCCTAGCAGGCTCATTCACTATGAAAAAGTGTTTTTGTTTCCCAGTGTTCCTGGACAAACTGACAGCAAAAGTAGAAGGCTGTCCTACCTTCTTAATAAATTCTCATTGACAGCTCTCTTGTGCTTAATGTAATCATATGGTACCTAGTCCTGGCTTGTTCTGTCTGAAGCAATGAACTATGTGGATCCAATGCCTGCCTTAAATGTTCTGCCATTTTATGACTGGCTAGAGAGTCTTTAAGTGGAATGTCAGTCAGGATTTTATGTTTTCCTCTGCAGTTTGTAGGCTTCAGATAAATAATCTTCGCCCTATCTGTCATCCAAGTTTTTATGAATCCCAACACCAAATTCAGATTTTTCAATTTTTCTCTCATTCACTTTTAGGATCCTTTATATGCGAAAACTCTGTGGTGACAAGTGCCACCTTCTAATTCATACAAAAGGCATGAGTCTTTCCAATACAGTTCTTTTTAGTTTCTATAAAATCTCCTTGTAGTTTCTATAAAATATTCTCCAGTTTTGAAGGAAATGCTTGCTGTTTGTCAAGATGATATATATTTTTAGTTTGCTCCTTGCATTATTTATTGGTTATATTCTCTCAGTTTCCTATTTGGAAAATAGATGTTAACATGATAGAGAGTACTAGATAAAACAAACCTAATCAAATTTGCTCTTGACATTTAGTATACAATTAGGACATTTGTTTAATGGAATTGTGTGTATGTTATAGTAATTTAAACTTTTAGAATATGTTTTGTATGCAATTGTCTAGAAACAATGTTGAAATCTTTAAGGTGAATAACTACAATCGCTTTCTCATTGACATTTCCCACCAGGTTCAAGGGACCATCTTCCCAGCTCCGAATTTCAATCCCATAATAGATGCCCAAATGTTAGGGGGAGCACTCCAAGGATTTGGTAAGTCTAGAAATTTCTCCTTTGTGATTATATACTGTCTTGCTTTGCCTTATTTTAAGATGCTACTACAGATGTAAAATAGCTGATATCTTATATAAAGGCAGGCACAGATTAAACAAGAATTAGACTTAGAAGATAAACAATAGAAAAAGACAACAATAGGGAAAAGATTTGCCTTGAGAAATTGCAAATCTTATCTTGAAATATTTGCCTTAAGTCCTTAACTATCTCATCACTAACTACAAAATAAAATTCCACACCAAAAAACCTTAATCTAAAATACAACATCTTTCCTGACCTTTATATGTGTTTGTTTTCTAACCTATTTTTATTGCTACTTCCATTTCAAGCCAAATCAAACTTGCTATTCCTCTGAATATCTCTGTTTTTTCACATTTCTGAAAATTGGCCCAATGATCTTTTTGCTTGGAATTCTATTTTCTTGTCTTATCTACTTTTAATCCAAACTCTCTCTCTTCAAAAGTTGTGAAAATAAGGCTTCCACTTTGAATCTTTCTCTGAGTACTAAAGGGTCTACCAGCTGTGCCATCTCCTGGGGGCCTTACTTCCTCACTTTTATACTCTGAGATCTGCCTGTCTCACCTGGACCCCAAGTTAGGGCTGAGTGTCAGGCTTAACAAACAAATAGATAGTCATTAAATGAGTTTAGAGAATTAATATAAAAGGAGAAGAGAGGCAAATTATTGAATTTACTTTTAATATGTAATCCTTACATCATGATATGGAACTGTTAGATATCCATATATTTTCCTTGAATAAAACCTGTTTTCCAAAGACTTGCAGTGAGCACAAAGACAGACATAAAAAACCTAAAACAACTATTTTCATAAAACATACAAAGTCTTTCATAAGAAAGCAGGCTCTTGACTTTAAAGATATGGTCACCTTTACAGAAACTGCATGTATGGTTGTGTGTGTGTGTGTGTGTGTGTGTGTGTGTGTGTGTGTGTGTGTGTGTGTGTGTGCACACACACAAGTAGCAATATCCCATAGGAAAATAATAATGCACTTAAAATATGCTCTCTGCTGTTGACCTTAGAAATTTGCAATGCTTTTATGCTTTTAAAATGTCAATCACCACTAAAAAAAAATAGAGAAGAGATAAGAAAAAGTTATAGATTTACTTTTTCTTTAGGAGTACAATTTTTGTTTTAAAACTATAGGTCAAAACAGTCTATTCACCAAAAAAAAAAAAAAAAAATTCTTTCCTGTCATTGAAGTTTTAGAGTCAGACTATGGATTCATTTTGGCCTTCACAATTTTTGGCTTGTCAGTATCGTAGGCTGAAGGATTTCAGGAGGTTTTGTTTTGATTGCATAGTGTCCACTGCAGCGTGCCAGAGCAAGGACACAGCTCCATATGCTTTAAGATGGCTTCAACAAAGTGCAATTGAAGAAAACAATGACTAATTTTTTCCTGGCTAGTCTGATTAAAACAGTATGAGAGAAAACAATGTATTCTAAAGCAAATGAAATTAAGTGATTTTAACAAAATTTGTCATAAATTGTATAAAAATTTACTACTCACAATCTGAAATGGAACACTTCTCAGTTAACATCCCCCAATAATGTGGTCACCTTTCCAATTCACCACCATAAGAAGCTACTTCCCTACCCATGCATTCTTAAAACAACTATATTTATTTTCTGTCTATTAGCGTATATAATTGCCAAGTCATTTCTATGAGATCCCCTACAACTGGAGCTATTTTTAACTTATATTCCCAAGTCCTGACAAAGGCAACACGAGTCAAAATTAAACTTTTGTTGAAACATTCAGTGTTATTTGGAGTGTACATACTCACATTGCCAGATGTTTCTCACCACTAAGTATGATGTTGGCTATAGGATTTTGGAGACAACCTGCTCAATCTGAGGATGTTCCTTTCCACTCCTAGCTTGCTGAGAATTTTATCTTGAATAGGTGGTGTATTTGTTCATGAGAAATGTGAGTCAATAGTTTTCTTGTAATGTCATTCTGTGCTGTAAGTAGTAGGGTAATGGCTTCAGAGAATGAGTTAGAAATACTACCTCTGCTTCTGTTATCTGGAATACATTCTAGAGAATTAGTATTTCTTTAAAGTTTTGCAGAATTCACCACTGAATACATCTGGTGTTGGTGCTTTCTGTTTTGGAAGGCTCTTAATTACTTATTCAATTTCTTTTGGACATACAGGTCTATGCAGATAATCTATTTTTCCTTGTATACAAGTTTGGATAGATTGCATCTTTAAAGAAATTGATCCATTTCATCTAGACTATCAGCCTTGTGGGCACAGAGTTGTTCATAAATTTTATTAGCCTTTTAATGTCTTTGAGGTCAGCAGTGATGGCCAGTCTTTCATTTATGATACTGGTGTTTTGTGTCTCTTTCTTAGCCTGGCCAGCAGCTTACAAGTTTTATTGATCTTCACAAAGAAATACCTTTAGATGGCTCTGATTTTCTTTAGTGATTTGGTGCACTTAATTTCATTGATTTCTACTCTAATTTTTATATTTTCTTTCCTTCCGTTTACCTTAGGTGTGATTTGTTCTTTTTTTTTTTTTTAGTTTCCTAAGGTAAAAGCTTAGGTTGATTTCAGATCTTTATTCTTTTCTCAAATATGTGTCTAATGTTATAAATTTTCCTCTATGTTTTGCATTGGCTGTGTTTCACAAATGTTGATAAGTCATACTCTCATTTTGATTGAATTTTTAATTCACCATGTATTATTTGGAAGTGTGTTGTTAAATCTGCATGTACTTGGGAGTTTTCTGGCTATCTTCTTACTGATTTCTATTTAATTTCCTTATGGTCAGAGAACATATCTTGCATGGTTTCTATTCTGTGATTTTAAATTTGTTATGATATGTTTTATGGCCCAGAGTATGGTATTTCTTAGTGAAAGTTCAATGTGAATTCAAGAAGAAAGTGTAATCTTCTGTTGTTGAATTAAGTATTATATAGATGTCAATTAAAGTCAGTTGGCTTTTCTAGATATATACTACACAGTATCTAGAAAATAGTAAAATAAAATTCAATTGCACTTCTTCAGCTAACCATTATGTTAAAAAAATAAAATGAAAATGGTGTAACTTTAAATATAAATAGCAATGCAAATATGGACAATTTTAACCAAGTAGTTTCTTTGCATTAGCAAAAAAAGCTCTACAAATCTTTACTGTTTTAGAAAAGAAAAATTCCCAAATAATTTGGCAGTTATATAATGTTAGTGACAAAATGACAGCTCTTTCAAAATTGATTTCTAAATTTACACTTATTTAATTAAAACATTTTATTTGTTTCCTAATCTTTTTGTTTTTTTTTAGTTTTGAGAGTAATTTGTTATATTTCTCTATAATCTAACTTGTTAACTAAAGTAACTTTTATAGTTGTTACCTATGAATATGTAAATTGCCTAAAGATCAAAATAATAACTAATGGTTTTATTTGCCTCTTAAAATTTATTTTTTTATTATCATATTATTGTTGTACCATGGGTACATTGTGACAGTTACAAAAGTTCTTGTAATATGTCACAGTTAAATTCGCCCCCTCCATCATTCTTCTTTATTTCCCCCTCCTCTCCATTCCTGGAATAATTTCAGCAGGTCTCATTTTTCCATTTTCATACATGTGTACATAAAATTTCCACTACACTGACCCTCCTTCATCCTTTCCTTATATGCCCTCACACGTACTGGTACCAACCCCCAGACAGGACCTGTTTTACCTTCCTGTTCTCTGTTTATGAAAAAGGAGTTTTTGTTTGTTTAAGATAGCTATGCAGGGAGTTTCACTGTGACGTTTCCATGTATATGTGCATTATAACCCTAATTGGCTCATCCCCTCTTTTTTCTCCTTTCTACCTTAGTCTTCTTATGATGATTTCAACAGGTTTAAAATTTTCTATATTCATTCTTATATAAAAAGGAAGGAAGGAAGTTAAGAAGGTGAATATGGTTGATGTTTTTTAATCATTTTGTGGCAGTCCTGAGATTTGAACTCAGGGCCTTACCCTAGTTAGGCAGGCACTCTACAACTTGAACCACAACCTTAGCCCTAAATAAAACATTTTCATAAAATTTTTGAGATCCTTAAAAATTATTCTTAAATACCTCTGGAAGAATAAATGAACAAGAACTGCTATGAAAATTATAAAAAATGAATAATAATTCAGAGAGATAGATTGTGAATAATCACAGAACAACAAAAATAAGATGATAATAATTAAGTAAATGTAAGAATAACACAATAGAAGTAGTTGAAAATCTAATTATTATTCAAAATATGTTCATTTTGGTTTGAATATCATGCAACAACCTATTTTTCTTTGAATCTGTGACTTCCCTAGATTAGTGCCTGATATCACCTCACTCTCCTTTACAGAGGAGGCTGCCTTTTCTCTCAGAATGTACTCACTTCAGTCTTCAGCGCTAACTTAATGCCTTCCTGCCTCCTACTACAGCTTCCATTCCGTTTTTCTCACCCGTATAAGAACTCTGATCTTCCTTCAGGTTCTCAATGGCAGTCATCTACAAAAATCCTAGCCACTTTCCCTCCTTCCTGAATATGTCAGGACCTGACTTTTAGCCTTCCAATGATCCAAACTCCACTCAGGGTAGATTTAATTTTCAAAAGGATGATTTGCTCAAAGTCTAAACTTTCAATGTGTGCCAGAACCCTTAGTCCCAAAGCAAGAAGTGTTATAGTTCTCATGCCATGGATGTTGGGATTCACAGGGCTTGAATTAAATATTTGCTGGAAACAAATGTCTCAGTTCTCTTCCTGTGACCTGACCCACACTCTCTCTTCTTCTTAGCCACTGCCATTGCTGCCATGTTGTTACTTCTATACTTCTGGGGCAGTGACTACCACCACTTCTGGCTCCACTTCTGGCTCCACTTCTGCCTTTTACCATCTATGCTCCCACTCTTCCCTCTATGCCACGAGGCCCTGTTGCTACCACCACTGCTAGCACCACCATGGTTACCTAAGCCACCAGTGCTGACTCTGCTATCATGGCTGCTAGCCTCCTGTTTGCTCCTGCTGCAGCCAGCACCAACAGCATGGCAGTTGGTGCCAGTATTGATGTTCTTATCGCCACCAATGCTGCCTTCATTCTGATTGGCCACCTATGGCTTCCATGCTAGGTCCACTAACATGGTTGCCAGATCAAATGCTGCTCCTATTGCCGTTGGCACTGATGTCATTCAAGTTAATGCTGTCTCTGATGCTGCCGCTACCATTGCTTCTGCTTTTGTCACCACCTCTTCTCTTTTCTTCACATTACCAGGTCAGCTTCTCTACTGATAATAAAAATCAAAAGTAGGTGAGAAAAGACCACTCAAGAGAAACCTAATTGAACCTACTGTTTCAACACCAGAAGTGCTGGTTGGCTTACAAAGTAGGCTGAACAGCCCAGAGGGGGTGAGATAAGGGTATCTGCACCAATCAAGAAGGTTCCTTCATGCAAATGAAAGACTGTATTGGTACCAATCATGGCACAGTTCCTCATGTCACCAGACATAGCAATCATTTATGCAAATTAAGGACAGTGTACAGGTCACAGGCCTTCTATTGGACCACCAGAGGAAGTGTTCCCTCTCTTGCCTGGGTGGAAGTGGCTTCATGGTCCTGTAGAGTTCACTGAAGCTTGTGATGGCAAAAAGTCTAGTACAAATTATTTTCTGGGGCAGCCTTCACGAGACAGAATCGTCCTTTGGGTTCAAAGTGGCCAGTGTGAGGGCAGTCCAGCTGCCTGGCTGGGATTCCTTTATTCAATACAGCCAGGGCCCAGGAAGGGTCTAACAGCTTTCAATTGGTGAGTCAAGTTGCCCTAGCTCCCAACATGTCTGTTTATTTACAGGAAAAACAAATATCAAAACAGTGTCTTATATTAAGGACCTATGACTAATATTAACAGTGCTTTAATACTTTAAAAGTATTAACACTTTTAAAGCTGAATTAAATTTTAAAATTAAAAGTATTTAATACTTTTAAAATTAATACAATTAAAAGTATTTAATACTTTTAAAAGTATTTAATACTTTTAAAATTAATACTTTTAAAAGTATTCTAACAATGATTACCCTAGCTCCCCACAGAGAGGGGTACCTATTTTATGTTACATAATTAGGAAGTTAAGTTCATCTCAGTCACTCTACTATGCCTCTTCTTACAGATAACCGTACCCAAACTAGTTCTGCATTAAGTGGTGTATTAACTCAGTGTGATGACTGATATGATATGAGAAAATAGAGGATGTGCAGCCCTGAGACAGAGTCTATGTTATCAGTGAGAGACATTGTATTACATGCAAAAATGATGAGTTTATTCCATCCCTCACAAGCGTGCAGATGCCTTGTACTTTTATGAGTTCCTTACCTGTTACTCCTCCTTTCTCTGGAGGTTCTTACAAGAGCAGCCACAGTCTTGTTCTGCATGTACATTATAAGCAACATCTCTCTAATGGAACTGTGAAAAAGATGGCGTGGCCCCACTTACATCCTCATGAAATTAAAAGTCAGGGAACCCTGGTTTTGGTGGGATAGAACAGGTAGCTAAAGGCTATATTTTTATTATTCTATGTTTTTTATCAGATCTTTGTAGCAGAAGGGAGGCAATCTGTAGTAATAATACTAAATGAGAGAAAAAAAAAACCTGGACTTAATCAAGCATTGATATGTGATTTTCAATTTTAGTTAAAATTGCACTCTGCTTGCCTATTAGTTTTCATCCTTAAAGAGTTCTTCCTAACTATACAGTAGTACCTTTGTGTGTGTGTGTGTGTGTTGTGTGTGCGTGCATGTTACCAGGGACAAAACTCAGGGCTTTGTGCATGCTAGGCAAGTAAGCAAGTAGTCCACCACTTGTGATACGCCCTGCTCCTTTTGTTTTTATTTTGCTTTTGAAACAGGATCTTGCTACCTTGGCCCAGGCTGGCCTCAAACTCATGATCCTCCTGTCTCAGCCTCCCAAGTAGCTGGGTTTACAGACATGACCCACTAACTCTGGCTCAGAATAGTAGCTTTTCTAAACTTTAAATATTATTATTTTCCAGACTGTGACAAAGACCTGCTGATTGACATTCTAACACAGCGCAGCAATGCACAAAGAATGGTGATTGCAGAGGCATACCAAAGCATGTATGGCCGGGTAAGAACTTTATCTTTACCTCTTTCTATGGCAAGCTCCTAAGAACTAACGATACTCTCAGATTAGTAAACTATTATTTTTTTCAGTCTCACAAATTACAAAGATTTCAGACCTCACTGTGTTAGAAACAGCTCATAGTCCTCTTATACATTTCAAGGAATTAAAGACATATCATGAAATGTACACTGTGTGAGGTACCTTCACAGTCTCAGTGGCGACCTGTACTTTCTAAACCCATACAGCTTCCCAAAAAGAACATTTTTATAACATTATCCTGCCCATTGGTCCAATTAGGCTAAAAATGTTGTTCTGTGCAAACTTTAGGGAAGGCATAGAGAGGACTAATGATCACTGGGTCAAAAAATAACATCTTTTCCCCAAATCTCTGCAGGTTCTCACCTAACTCTGAACCAAAGTGAATTCTCTGCCAGCTTTCCTTCTCAACAGCATGCAGTTATAGAGACCATTAAAAAAGAATGGCACTTTAAAAATAGTTTAAGGCAATAAAACTATCCACAGTGTTTTAAAGTAATCACATTCTAATTTCAAAGCAAGGACCATTAAAGATTCCATGCTTTTGTTATGCATTTAAACCACAAATTCAGAACAAAAACTCTTCAGGCCAAAAGAGCCTGAAATAGCAATTACTTTGTCAACTGAGCATTATCAATGAAACACTGTCATAAAACTTTTTCTATAAAGGTAGTCCATATAAATTTATTCCATCTCTAAACCTCAGCCTTTGAATGACTATAATACATGTAATGAAAGATAACTCTCTGTTTTCAAATGAATTCATGATCCAAAAGCCACTAGTAGTAGTGACATCAATTGAATTAAGTCAAAGAAGAAGACGAGTTATACCTTTTATTCTACGTAAAATTTTTACCCTAGCTCATGCTCCATAACACCAATGCTAGTTTTCTCTTGAAAGAAAATGTAAAATCTATAAAGGATGTGTCATTGTTAATCTAATATGACTTGATTTTGCAAAGTATAGGCTGGGAGCATGGCTCTTTCAAGTGGTAGAGAACACACGTGTCTAGCAAAATAAATAAATAAATTTGCATAGTGTAATAATGAGTGCTATTTTTCAGGAACTCTTTTTAGCCCAAAGGCTTGCATAGATCTTTGCTTTTTATGTGCAGAGTTAATTTGGGCTAAAGCTGTACTTTATCAAGCTCTACAAAATTATGCCAAAGCAGATTAAAGAAATTAGGAAATAAGGTACTTACACTCAAGGGATTTAAAAGCTATTGAAGAACTCATACTGGAATGAAGTGCTTTTCACTATGCCTAGGCCTCAGAGTTTATTAAGCCCTTACTTTTGCTGAATAATCTACACATCCTAGAAAAGTTTGGCTAATCACTGAATTGCACAAAATGGAAGACACAAAGCCATGTCTCTCCCTTTGCTCTGAAATAACCTTCTCATTCAATTCAATTAATTAGCAAGTCTTGTAAATTATTTCTCCTCTCACATTTCTCTTTTTCCTCTCTTATACAATCCTGGGTCTTGGTTCATATCTTTATCCTTTCATGCCCAGGCTTGTGCTAAAACTCCTAACTGCTCCCTTTTTTCCCACTCACTTCCCACTCCAGCCTACTATCCAAACTCAAGCCAGAGGATGACTCAAAATCTAAATTTCACACATTACTTTGTCACTTACTCCTTGAATATTTATCCAATTCAATTCTTTCCTTGTAAACATCCATATGCACATGGAATAAACCCAAATGCCTTCCCAGAACATAAAAATTCTTGCTTGTGTCATCTCTGCTTTCCATCTTAATCCCCCATCTCCTTCCTCACGCACCTTAGACTAGAGCCAAAAGGAAGTATCTATGGTCCTCCAAATAAACTCTGCCTTCTTCCTCACCTTGAGTCATGGTGTTTCACCTACGTACAGTGTCCTGATTCTCATTCCACCTGCCATACACCTATGATCCTTCCAAGCTCTGGACACCATATTCACTCCAGCACTCAAATCCAGTGGAGCAGCCTCACTCTGCTCATGCATCTGTTTTGTAACTTCTTATAGTATCTCATGCCACACCCATGACCTTGCTTATGTCTGTTTCATATCACCAAAGTCTAAAGTCTTCAGCTTAGAATATTTTTTGCTCATCCTAGAGCTTAGTACAAATGTTTGTTTAACACACTAAGATTGCTTAATTCATATTCTTTGAATGACATTGTGATAGCACAGCTAACTGCAGCTACTCCAATAAGATGCAATCAGACTTTGACTGCCCCTGGAAACCAAACCTGTCATGCTTACTCTCTGCTGTGAACAAGGTGCCTCCTGTTTGGATGCCAGAGGTCTCTGTGACCAATGCTACCATGGCATTGACATACTGGACTGTGTTTGTTTACTTTTATGTCTTGAGAGTATTCTGTGATCTCCTAGAAAAACAGAGATTGTATTATTTGCTGCCATTCCTCCAGAGTTCAGTCCAGGGTCTGATGTAGAGGCTATATTCTGCCTGTTTAGTTTCTTTTAAAAAAACACGTGAAAAGACTCATCATCTTATTATCCAATAGTTCAAATGAATGCTCATAAATTTCCCAGAGTACTTTTCCCCTCTGCCTTTCCTCTGAGTGTTGCCAGGATAATTTTCCTGACCTTCAATAAGGTCTTCCTGACCTCCCTGGCTGCTCACATTCAGAATTACTTCTTCCATTTTCCATTTGCTATCTTTCCCTTTCCATGGTGAGAATGTATAGATTATCCTCTATGATAATCACTTATATTTTCATTTTTTATTAATAAGGATAATTAAGAGTTGACAGCATTATTTTCTTGGCTGCTCAGGAAAGTGTAATTCTAGGCAGGCTCCACAGATACTTCTTCCTTGATATTTCACATTAGTGCAAGGCTGCTGAATTTCATCAACAACTTTGCCTTATTCATAGCAGAAACTAATCCCAGACTCAACTATCAGTTCATTTGGAAAGCAGCATATTTATTGATATAATTGTTGTGGTTGCTAATGATTTTCCCCAACAAAGCAAGTGTTAGTCTGTGGACTGTGCAGTGCAACAAAGGGATCAATAGAATGCCTTTGGGAATGACAAGTCCAAGAACCAGACTACGATTCCTGTAATTCAGATGTAGTATTGAAACAATTTGTTTTCTCATTTTTCATATATAACAGGTCTGGTCAGCCCTGATATATACTTATTTCTGTCAGTCACTAAATTGTGACATTAGTTATGCAATTTAATACAGAGGCAGACTTGTCCAAAGGCAGGACGTGGGACACAATTATCTGACTCTAAACCGTGTCTTCCATAATTTCTCAATAATGCTCATTGTCCTCTATTGAATCAACACCAGACTTAACAAGGGTAGATATCTATAATGCAAATTCCCTTACATTCTTTGAGGTTTGGTTCAAATGTTAGTGACTCAAGAGGGCATAGTCTTTTAAAATTCTCATACTCCAAGGCCTATGCTAATACTTCATAGCCTTCTTACCTGTTCTTATTTTTTGTCCATAACACGTACTACCTTCTAACATACTATATAACATACTTACCTATTATAATTCCTAATCATGGTATATCACCTCTTTCAGAAATACAAGCTGCACAAAAATAAGAATCTATTTTATTCACCAGTGTGCCCCAAGCACAATCACAAAGCCACATGGTTGGTATTATTGACTGAATGTATTCCCCTAAGATGTGTATGTTAAAGTCCAAACACACAATGTGATTATATTTGGAAATGAGGATGTAATTAAGGTTGTGAGGTTGAAAGGGTAGGAATTAATCCTTGAGGACTGATGCCATAAGTAAAAGGAACACCAGGGATATATATGCACAGAGAGAAGGTGGCCATTTGCAAGTCAAGAAAGTTGACCTCACCAGAAACCAAACCCAAAATGTCTAGCTCTTGGCCTCTGTCTCCAGAAGTATGAGAAGATAACTTTTTGTTTTTCAAGCTACCCAGTCCATGGTGTTCTGCTATGGTATCCTGAGCTGATTAGTCCAAGTAGTACTCAGTACATAGAAGTGAGTTCATGAAGAGTTAACTCTTCACACTCATATGGATCTCATAACATGTTTTCATGTTTTCACTTATCACCTCTCAACTTCATAGTTAAAAATATTGATAAATGAAGGTAAACATACCTAGGCATTTGCTTGCAAGAAAATTGCTGCTTCTACCTTACAGGTAGTACAAGCATCTCACTATTGTATAGCACACAGTACTATCACACGCATATCACTAGTCCTGTAAGACGCATTGATTCTCCTCATCTACTGCTCACTTTTAGTTTGGAAGAGGAGGGTAGGTGTAGATTTAGCCTCAAAGGATGAAAAATTCATTATATAATTTACCACAAATCACTCTTGTAAATACGTAATATAACTTAAGATGATATAATTACTTTACTTTTCAACTAAATAAAATATACCTGTTTTGGTAAAACAGTATATTTCACAAACAAGAATACTAGTTTAAAATTTTAAAGGGAAAATAGAAGTAGATATACTGCTAATTTTCATTAGGATTCAAAATATTCTATAAAATAATTCTGTAAGTGCACACTTCTACTTGCAATAAATAATGATTCATATTTCATTAAAATTCTAACACTGAGTGATACAAAACTTCTTAATTTTTGGCCAATCTACTTCATAGATATGAATGGAATTTCACTGTAGCTTTTTTTCTTTTTAAAGAGTTTTATTAGTATATATTTATTGTACAAAATAATGGGTTTCATTATGACATTTTCATATATGCACATAAAGTACTGAACTCATAATCATCCCTCCATTATTATCTTGTCTCCCTTGAAATCTCCCTTTGGTCTACTTCCTTATCCAAAATAGTGTCCTTTATTTTTACTCTAGCTTCTGCATATGAGAAAAATATGCAATATTTATCTTCCTGCTTCTTATTTATTTTGTTTAGCATGATGATCTCTCATTCCACCCATTTTGCTGCAGATGACCTAATTTTATTCCTCTTTATGGCTGAATA